CCCCCCCCCCCCCCTAGCTTAGTATATATACCACTTGTAACCCTCGAGGAAGGGGATCCGAATTCATTCTCTCTAAACTCCCTTGTAAAAGTGACCGTGCATTCTCTGTTTTAATACAATTCGGACTACAGGTGTTCCACCTAAAGTCCTACCGGTCATTCTGAGTGTTCTTACTTTCTTTACTTTTACTAAATCTAGCCAACTGTTCTAGACCCGGTCTAGTATAGTTTGACCGGTCAAGTAATTTACACTATCATTTTTGGCGCCGACCGTGGGACCGTTAAGGTTTCTTCTCTTCTAAACACAAACCTACCCACAAAAACACCACTCAAAATGTCTTCCAGCCAGCAAATCAACGCTACCTCTGCTCAGGTGCAAGCCACCACTGGGGGTACCAGCGTCCCCATGGTTGCTACCCTGCCAGCCGTTTCAACTCCGGTTTTGCCGTTGGGACTAAGCTCGGTCCCAACACCCAGCATGGTAAGCCCATTCACGACCCCCGTCCCTTCCGCTGGATCGAGGGTCAGTTTCCCACCAAGCATGACTCAGTTCATGAATGACCCAGCTAACCTGCAGGCCATCCAAGGCTTTGGCCAGGTCATGGCTATGTGCCAACAAAATGGGGGGATGCATTTCATCCCTGGTATGTTCTCGTTCGCTCTTCCAGGCACGGGAACCATGCCCCTACAAGCTCCGATGGCAGTGACGCCGTTTCAGACGCCGATTCCACAGCCATCACCTTTCCAGCCGCAGCTAGTCAGCGCTGTGGCCCCCATCAACTTGGCAGGTGCGCTTAACGCCGCGGGACCGTTGCGTCCCCCGCAAGGTATGAACCCGCTAGTCACTCCGGATGGTCACTGCGTCTCAGTCGAAAGCGGAGACGACGAGTGGGACATTCCAAGGACCCACAAGAAGAAAAAGGGAAAGACCATACGCCCTGCAACTTCCCGAAACTCCGCCTTCGAAAGGCTGGGGGATAGGGAAGAGGGCCAGAGAAAGTCAGCCAAGCTGAGGCTGGGGCAAAGCGTTGCCCATGTCAGCGCGTTTGCCCGGTTAGGTGAGATGAGGGAGGCCGAGCCTGCCCGCACCCAACGCTCCCGGTCAAATCGGCAGGAGCCAGCCAGGACGAGGGCCTCTCGTCAGGAGGAGGAAGCAGAAAGCCAGCCCAGGGTACCGGTAGCTAACCGGTTAACCATCCCCAACGACCGCGTCCAACAGATGGAGGCGAAGTTGGAGAGGCTGGAGAAGAAAGTCGGGGAGAAGAGTGACCGGGACAAACCCCTTGCAGGATCCCCGTTCACCGCAAGGGACCATCTAACACCTTTCCCGCGAAAGGTTAAGATAGATGCCCCAAGGTTCACCGGTAAGGAGGACCCAGAAATCCACCTGGACTCCTTCAATCAGAGTGCAACCATGAACGGTTGCACAGATGAAGAAAAGTGCCTCCTTTTCTTCCAGACCTTGCGGAATCGGGCCACCGAGTGGTTCAACAAGCTTCGCCCGGGAAGCATTGACTCATTCAGCGACTTGGCCTCGAAGTTCAAGGCCAAGTTCCAGGAGAACTGTACCAAGAGGAAGAAATTCACCTATCTTAGTACAGCCGGGCAGAGGGAATCTGAGAACCTCACCCAATTCCTTACCCGGTGGAAGGAGGAGGTAGACAAGGTTGAGGAGATGGATGACAAGACAGTGTTGTCCCTCCTCCTGAGTGGTTTGCGAGCTGGGGAACTTTACAAGGAGTTCTGCCGGAAACCCCCGGCCACGTATCAGGAGGCGTACCATACTGCATGGGAGTTCGCCGAGGCTGAGACTCAACTCCGGGCGAAGAAAGAAGCCGAGCATGGTTACAAGCCCAAGCCGGTGCAAGTCAAAAAGGAAGAAGCGCCGGTAACCAGCCGGCCAAGGCACCATTATGACCCGGTCATCCGAATGGTCAACACAGAAGAGTGCCAGGAGGTAAGGAAAGCATCGGCTCCCTACCCGGTCATCCCACCGGAAAATCCTACCGGTCAAACTGGACGGCAATGGTCGGGCACGTATTGTTCGTACCATCGGTCAGATTCCCATAACACTTCCGAGTGCAAGAGTGTTAAGGGAGTCATCCGGCAAATGATAGACAGCGGAGAGCTGGGCAAAGATTATTTGCAGAAAGCCTAGGAGAAGAGTCATCAATGGGTTAGGCCATCTATCCCGGAGAATGACCGGGACGACGACCGGCGGAGGAATAACCGGCCGAAGGAGCGGCAACCTGCCCCTGAAAAGGAACACATCGGCATGATCTTCGGCGGACCTGAGGGTGGAGACTCAGCCGTGCAACGGAAGAACTGGGTTCGCAGCATTTACGTCGGTGAGGTGAGTACCGAACCGGCCAGGTGTAAGTATCCCAGGAGGGAGCCAATAGTCTTCACTGACCGGGACCTCCCTCCTACCGGTGAAGATCACAATGATCCATTGGTCATCACCATGGACATCAACGGGGTGGACGTCGCCCGGGTACTTGTTGACACCGGCAGCAGTGTCAACATCCTATACCTGGAGACTTTCCAAAAACTCAGGTTGTGTCGGACACAACTTGAACCCCTCAAAACTCCTCTCTCAGGTTTCACGGGAGACACAGTGGAAGCTGAGGGGTCCATAGTTCTACCGGTCGAACTAGGATCGGGCGAAAAGACCGTGTGGAAGAAAATGCGGTTCATCGTTGTGGACATCAAATGCGTCCACAACGCCATCCTTGGAAGGCCTGGCATCAACAAGGTTGGGGCGGTGATTTCCATGCCTCACCTATGCATGAGGTTCCACACTCCGGGCGGTGTGGGAGAAGTGAGGGGCGACCAGAGGAATGCCCGGGAGTGCTATGCCCGGGCG